TTTTTAGAGACAGAGTCTCTCTCTGTTACCCAGGCTGGAGTGCAGTTGTATCATCACACCTCACTGTAGCCTCAAACTCCTGGGCTCAAGTGATCCTCCTTCCCCAGCCTTCTGAGTAGCTGGGACTGCAGGCATGCGCCACCATGCCTGGCCCAAATCAATGATGTTTTATATTGGATATAATAAATGAAATAATTGACTCTGAAGGGTGTGGTGGCCTGGATACAGAGTTTTGTATTGTCTCTGGCGGGTGGCATCTCATTGGACTTTCCATGCAGCTGACAGCAGCTTCCCTGGTGGAAGTTTGCACTCCACTGACTGACATCCCGTGAAGCTCAGACGAAGGTTCTGATGCTTTGTTCCCTTTTCTCTGTTATCCTTTGTTTTTTCTTAGTGATTTATATGGGTATCCTCATAACTCCTGAGCAAATCTGGTGAGATTGTAATAGCCAAAATCTGTGGCTTTTGGTGCCAACCTTTGGAGAACAGTATGACTCACTTCCCTATAAGAAAAGGACTTGATATTTGAAAAAAAAAAAGATTGACATGTTTGGTCAAGGAACAGAAGACCAAACCCCTCTCGCAGGCAAGCAGTGACCTGTTCCACGTGAACTGTGCCACTTTGTGGCACGAGATAGTCAAGAAAACTGGAACAATAGGACAGGGGCCAAGCTTTTTTGACTCCAGACCATACGGACTAAGCTTTTGGTTTCCCATTTTAATATTGATGTGAGTGAGTATTTTAAAGGACCCAGTACTTACCAGTGTTGTTTCCCTCCCACATTGTTCTGTGGATTGTTTTCTAAATTCTGTGCACAAATTCCAAAAGTAGGGGAAGAAGGAATATAAGAGTTAAACCACAGATATCCTCTGGGAAGCAAAACTTTTTTGGCTGCCCGTGGGTTGAAAGTTGAGCAACACTGTGGAGTAGCAGAATCACGGAGAGGGTTTGGTGGGCCGAGTATATTGAACCTGCAGTCCGTCTCCTCTGGAGTGTGGGGTGAGGTGGGAAGGGATGTTTGCTGACTTTGTTTAACAGATTATGGGTGAACAATACCCACGTGTCAAAACTCAGTCAAGTTCCAGAGACACGGACGCTGGGATTGTGAGAAGCCCACTGTCTGGAGACGATGGATGCCAGAACTAGCAGGCACATGTGACGGGGTACACTTTGGGTTTCTGGCTTTCTGCTGTCTAAGGTCATCTCATTGTGGCCTTGGTGAAGTCATTCTTACCAAAAATCCTTGTCAGAGACGAAAAGCACGTGTTGAACACTGCTAATGTGACAGAAATATGCTAGGTGCTTTATCTCGCTGTATCTCTCTATAAGTTTCCTCGTTTAATGCTTGTAACAACTTTGAAGTAAATGGAATTTTCCCCATTTTAAAGATGAGGATGTCCCTCCTATAAGATCTGTACCCATCCCTTACCTTAAGGAGTAGGTAATCCAAGATGTCAGGAAGCTTGTGAGGGTAAAAAAATTACAGAATTAAAACCTAAAATCAATATTAAATGGGGGGTCTGACAGTACTTTTAAGGGAGTATTCTGCACAGCTTCGTGGAAGCTCAGGGCATTAAAAGGACAGAGGTGAACTCCCAGCGGTGTCGAGCGATCAGCCAGGCACACATAGTTGTGGTGAGGACTGAGGGAAGAGGAACTGGAGGTTCCATGTCTAGACAGGGTGGAGTGACAAGAAGCAACTGGGTGAAGGGTTGTGGAATGTCATGAACGTCGTGTTTGCTTCAGAGATAACAGTGTGGCGTGGGTATAGCTGTATAGTTCTCCACTGAACGCCACACCTTTAATCAGCCTCTGTGATGTGTGCGTGCACATGTGTGTATGTGCGTGTGTGTGTACAATCACTGTCAGCAGATATTACGGATAAGGAATTCGGGCAACTCAGAAGACCCCAGTGTCTATGCTTCTGGCCCTGCTGATGAGGAAAGATGGGGTTTGCATTCCCCCCAAATCTGGGGGTATTTGAGCAAAGCAGCCATCCAGGAAACGCCTTCTCAGCTCTGGTCCTTGGATTAACAAAGCCTCTTTTCTGGTTTGCTTCAAGTACTTAGTCATCTAGACCCTGCATCGTTAAGTAAATCTGAGTTCCGTCTCTGTGAGCCCTCACGGTTGCCATGGAGGTAGATGGAAGGCAGAGGAAAACACGTAATGGTTTATTTTGCATTGGCTGATTTGCGCAGCACTGAGTGTAGGGGCTGCAGGACTCAAGGACTAGAGGAGTGATTTACATTTTTCCGTGGGCCTAAATAGGCGTTGACAAGTTTCCTGGGTGTCAAGCTATTTTCTATACGATCCCCCACCTGTTTCTTATGGGAACTCTGTATTTGATGTCTTTGAGGGTTAGCATCTCACAAGGAAGCAGAAACTGGCATAAAAAGCAGCCTTCGTGGAGTGTTTTGTCCTTTGGCTTTAATAATTAAGCCCAAGAAAATCTGTGTCTTGGAAATTTTCTCAGGAAACCAAATGTCGGTATTCACTGGCAGAACATAATAGAATTTGTGTCTGAGCAAGAATAATACTGGATTGTTGCTTAATATGATAGGTTTTTAAAAATATATTTATTTTAAATATGGAGAACCAGTTGCTCAAATGAAATCTTACCCATAAGCCTATTATGTATAAAACATGAAAGCAGAATGGCCCCAGGCTCACTCCCCCGTCCTTTCATTCCCACACGTGTTGACTTGGGGCCCTCCACGCACAGGTCCGGAGCTGGGATTACAGCTGTGGGTAAAAATGGGCGATAATCTCTGTCCCGTGGAGCTCTCACATTGTGATGGTGGACAAAGATACCAGTAAGCAAATACACAGTGACCATCATAGCTCGCACAAACCGGGTGCTTACTTTGTGCCAAGGACTCTTTAAAGCTCTTTTACAGGTAGCCACCCGTTTAATTCACACAGTGATGTTGTGATGCAGGGCGTTATTTATGCTGGTTTTATAGGAGATAAACTGAGGCAGAGAAAAATTAAAAACTTGCCCAAGGTCATGCAGCTCATAAGAGACAAAGGCAGGAATCAAACCAGGCAGTGTCTTTAGGGTCTGCGGGCTGAACTCTTTACCGCACTGGCCCTCAGCGTGGCGTGGACATGTCCGGGCTTACGCGTGCTGTGTTAGATGACCTGCCAGGGCAAGGAGAGAAGGAGCCCAGGACTGAGCCTGGTGCCATCTGATTTTCAGTCTGAAATTAGAGTGCTGGGTCCCTAAACGCTCTTTCTACACTAACACACATGTGATTCTATTAAGCAGACCCTAGGGGGAAAAAGATTGAAAAAATTTGTGTGTCCTTTTGTCTGTCCCCCTGGTATAGAAATTGCTCCTTGGGAGCAATTAATATGTTGGGTTGCATTTCTTTCAGCTAATTAGGTATCTGTCGCTAAATGCTACATGAGTGATCACAGAGTCTTCGCATGTATTGCTTATACTACACAGTCATTTGTTCGTAACTTCTGAAGATTAAAAGAAACTTAAAGCCCTTCCTGGCAACAGGTGCTGCACTCCTCAAGATGGAACAGACCGTTGGTCTCCTGCCCGTCAAAACACACCTCTCGGTCTGTTCCTTCTTCTCTTCAGTGTCTAAGAGCTCGCTCTGATGACAGGTTAAAGTTTTACGGAGGCTAATTCATACCCGCAGGTTGGTAAGGAATATTGAATGATTCTAACTGCTAAGTGTTCTTCTTCGAGGTTTAAAACGTCCATCCTTTCCTTCAAGATTAAGAAAATAAGCCTTACGGCATGAATGTGTCAGGTGAGGTCTTGCACGGCTCTCCCGGCAAAGGGAAAATAGAGGTTCTGCTCAGGTCATTCAGCCCTGTCAGCAGAAACAGATGCCATTAAAAGTTTGGATGGAGGGGTCAGCGCTTTGTCTACACGTTTGAGCATTCGTGTCATACCGATGGGATTTCATGTCTGTCTCTTCCCCAGCAGGGCTGTTTAACGACACCCAACTCCCCGGCCCTGCACTCCCGCTCCATTACGCTGGGTCCGTCCCTGTCGCTGGGCAGCATCTCGGGGGTGTCTGTGAAGTCGGAGATGAAGAAACGCCGAGCCCCTCCTCCTCCGAGTCCAGGGCCACCTGTGCAAGACAAGGCACCAGAAAAGGTAGGACAGCAGGCACCTGTCCTGACCAGAGCATCTTTTAAATGGCCCAGTTGACTCTTCAGAAACTCTGGGAACGCTAGAATCTGTCATGCTTGTGCTTTAGCAACCAGTGTGTTTAGGGTGACTATTTAAGATTTATTTAGAAGTAAAGGTGAGATGCCACTCTGCTTCAGTTATTGAGGAAGGAAACTATTTTTGGGCTTTTAGTATTTAAAGACCAATGCTTGTTGATTAACTCGTGCTTTATTTTAGCACGGAAATTTTGGGCATCATTTTGATTACTTAATGAGAAACGTTCGGGGGTAAAGGTGCCTTAAGAGATCTGGAACTTGGTAGGATAGGAGTGACACATAACATATGCAGATGCTCGAAATAATTCAGTTTCACAGGATAGCTGACAATATTTTTGCATATTAACTTGCTTTCAATAGGTTAAAACATTTATTTCATGAGGCCCTGCATTTCAGAATCCTCCTTTTTTATGTTTCTCTTCAGAGCAACTTAATGCCTTTGAAAGTGATCAAGTCATAGGTGTTCAATGGGAAGAGACTTTTGTCCTTAGCAGCTGAGTTGCTTCCCTGGTGTTTTTTATTTGGGCCTCTTCCCTTCAGCTACCTGCTGAAATATCAAATCCTTCCTTTCCAGGGGTAGGGCACTTTTTGACAGCAACTCCTCTTTTCAGCAACTTCTTTGTGAAGCTTTTATTTTTCTAAACCTATCCCCACCTGGGGCAGGGGGCATGGCAGGGACAACACTGGGCTGCCAGGGTGGGCTCGTGCTTTTGGCTGCGAGAAGCTAAGCTCCCCAAGGCAATCAGGAGAGGCAGGCCGCAGGGTGCTGCTCCGCCCACACCCTGAGGTGTAAGGGTAGGGATGCTTATTCTCCATCAGGCCGAGATGTGTCTGACTGACTTGCGTCCCGGCTTCCTGGGGAGACACCACTAATGAACTCTAGCGCATAGGTAAAGCACGTTCAGGGCCCATTCGTTCTCTCCTAGGACTTCGTTCCCTGAGTCTTGCTGCTCCTTGGTGCCACATGACCTGTCCCAGTTGCATGATGTCTGAGAGCATCACATCCCTACTAGTCTGTAGATTCAAACCTTTTTTTGCTCATTCATGAAGTGGCTTTTCCTTAAAATATTGTAGAAACTAAGTCTGTACCTCCCAAATTTGAGGCTTGGCCCCTGGATCTTGATTAGAAGTTATAGTAGTGGATCTCTGTGGCTGAAGAAATGTCACTTAATTTTCTCATCAGCCTGATTGTCAGTCTGTCTGTCCCTCTGTCTGCAAGGTGGTCCTCTGGTCATCTGTCTCTGTTGCTTAAGGGGCATTCCTTATCCCTTGACCTCAGAGACCACCATGTTCACCTCTGTAGACCTTTCCATTCATATCCATAGAAATCTGTCTGAAAAGTCCATAATGCAACACATTTTAGAAGAAAATGTTTTTTGTCTCTTAAGTATTTTCTAATGCCACTCATTTATTTTTTGAGTTCTCCATGATATTTTAGCTGTGTTTTGATAAAAAGAAATTTAGGCATAAATGGTAGGTCATTTTGTCATGTACTTGCATGATTAAATGATGCAAATGGAGCATGAAGCTATTTCCTGTGATTGTCTACAGTGTCTCTTTAATTTGCTTGGGTGTAGATTCTGAACTTTTTCATAACATGCAGACTGTAAGTTTTCAACTACATGTCCCTGGGGATGTCTTTTTGCTTTTGGTTGGGATAGATATTTCTTTAGCAGTGAGAAGTATGAATTCCAGGCTTAATATTATGTAAGGTTTTTTCTTGTTCAGTAAGAATTGCATTTTCTTAATACAATAGAATGTAGATGGTGAGTTGCACCAGCATTTAAAAAATTTCTTCCAGCCAGAGATGTTGTATTTTTCTGCCTTTAATGTGCTTACCCACAGTGGGTAAAGCCTGCTTGAGTGGGAAAATGTACAGTAAGTAGAGAATTGGGAATTCTGAATGAAAAATAAATAGTACTTTATACCCTGTAGAATGAACAGAGTTCCCTCAGAGGCAGTAAAAGCTTTTTGCTGAAATCTGTTTTATTTGGCACAGAATGAGTGGAGAAATTGGCTCATGGAAACCATCTCCTTTTTTAAGCATATGAGTGGCATATGGATTAGATTTAAGCATTTGCTATGAACATGCTTTTTGTAAAATGAAAGGTATTTTGTTATTTACTAATTTCTGGGAAAGGAACCCAAAAATGTATTGTCATCGTTGTTGGGGAAGAACGTCAGTTCCTTCTTCATGAACTTCCTTCCATATAAAGATAAGATGTTGTTTGGGAAACCTGATTTAGATGCGACTGTTATTAACACCAATTTCCTGAATAAAAGGGAAAGGTTTATTTTCAAGGATATGACTAGTTTATAAGAAAATAAGAATGCTTATGTTTCCATATTTTAAAAGATATTTTTTTCATATCAACTAATTTAGAAAATTCAATATTTACTTCTTCAGGTCTTAAAGGTGGGATAATTTTAGCCATCTTCCAGTTCATCTGAAACTTTTTAAAAACAGTATAATCATTACATTAGTATTTGTTAGTTGATTGTGTACTCATAATTTGATCATTTCTGTTTGTTATTCCCAAAAGTATTTTTCAAAGAGATTCTCTCAGAGGTATTAAAGCCTGGGAAATAAACGACTGTTGCCCTTGTGCCGGCAGAGCGGTGGGGAAGACGGGTAGAGGGACATGCCATCTTTCAGGAGGGTGACAGGACTCTCCCTTCCGCCCTCCATCATTCTTCGTACCGTACTGTGAGTGTAGTTTTTATCATGGAGAACACTCAGGCAGGCATGATACGTTACGCATGTAAAGGCACCATAGACTAAGTCAGTATTTCTCAAATTTGAGCAAGCATCAGGGTCACCCCGAAGGGCTTGTTAAAACATTTTTTACTGGGCCCCACCCCAGTTCTGATTCAGTAGGTCTGGGGCAGGGCCTGAGAATTTGCATTTCAGCTGCCACTGCTGCTCTGGCTTTGAGAACCACCGCTCCGTAGAATGCCACCTCCCTCAGCTGCCCGCCCAGAATTTTGATGACTCAAATGTAGCAGATCTGCTGAGAGATTCTTCAGCAGAAAAGTTACCTAAAAATGAATGAATCTATGCTGTGGAATAATAATTATATATAGTTTCCCATAAAGTTAGCTGAGGCCTAAAGTTATATGTTAAAACTGGTAAATTGCTCTCACTTCTTCTGACTGGGACCCAGGGAATACTCAAGTGGGGGCACAAAGGAATTGTCAGTCAGGGTAGGATTTTCCTTTCCCCACCTTGCCCTGTGCAGAGATGACCTCTCCCTTTGTCCTTGCTGCTGTGGCATTGGGGTCAGAGCCCCTCTCGTTTGGTCTTGGAGCAGCACTGAGATTACGGGTGGGGCTGAGGCGTAGACGCCCGGCTGTGCATCCCTCCACTCGCTCTCTGGCCTCAGTTTCCTCCTCTGCAAAATGGGAACAATAGGAACTGCACTGGCAGGTGCATGTAGTAGTGGTCAGAGGGTGGACCTGGCAGTGCTTCCCTGGGCTCAGATCCCAGCTCCGCCATTTCTAGAGATGAGGTCATCCTTCTGCTCATTGTGTCCTTGGGTGTGTGCTCTGCACTGGAGGGGAAGGCAGAGTTGGCCACAGTGCAGTGGGGGCTGGGAGTAGCCAGTGTGCATGATGCAGAGGTTGCTGCATAGGAGGGCTGAGGCACTTATGGCCCTGGCCAGGGTCCTGCATTAACCAAGTAGCAGATTATATTTAAAAATCTAATTCACTATTGCTGCAAACACCAAATGTGCAATAAAAAAATCACTGAGCCCCTGGAACAGGCTCATTCTGTTCAACAATACCGGCACCCTCTCTTTTGGTGGCATTTTCCCTTTGTGGCCACAAACCATGAACACCTCACTCCCTGTTCCACACCTTCAGAGAAGAAGATAACTCTTCATCCCTTTAAATCCTGAGATCCTCTGTTTAAGAAGGAAAATAGGATACTATCAAGTCATCCTTACTTAGGCGACTCAGTTTACCTCTTAAAGATTGGAACAATACTCTAAATCATCTGTGCCGATGCCTGCCATTGTACAACACTTTGCATGTTACAGAGCAGCTTTTTTTACTTTTTTATGTCTATCAAGAGATTAAACATTAGTAACTTGTGGGAGTTTACTAGACAAAGCTGTGTTGTCTAATTTTAGTTATCATTATCCACAAACATATAATAAACAGCCATTTATTCAGTCAATATACAGTTATTATACACCAACTTTTGTGCTGATACCAACTATCAATCCATTTTTCTTCTAATTAAAAAGTAATTCAAAAATATTTTAAAGTTATTCAAGCTTTATTCTGTATTATTTGAATTATTGCATTCATTATGTTCAACACCATAAAATTCCAGTGTGACAAGTACATTTCTGTATTCTCTCAAATTTATTGCATTGGGACTGAAATTACTAGTGATGTTGGCTATCAAAATGAGAGATGATGGAGGCTGTGTTATGATCAGTTATTAGTATAACCCCAAGTAGATTTTTCCATGAAAGATGTGCTTATGTATTCAATAAATAGTTGTTGAACAGGTGCTATGCTCAAGGCCCTGTACTTGCAGCATGAATTGATATTCATTACTCTAATAGCTCAGAGCAGAGTATTCATAAAAATACAGTATTCCATACTGTGTGAAGACTTAGGGTGGTCTGTGTTAGAAATGTAATGCAAAGCATCACAACTTGAAGTTCCATTTCCTGGGTCTGGTAACTAGAATTTGATAGAAAGTCATAAAACTGTGCTGACCGGATTCCCAAAGATACGTTCCACCAAGAACTGAAATGTCCACCTGGTCATCGTCAAACTTAGAGTTTCTGAACACGCTGTATCTGGTCATTCTGGTGTGTTCTTGACCCTGGTCCGCAGAGCACACTGGGGGGGACAGGTTTGGCGGCCCCTGTGCTGGGGGACCTGCGGGGTCTGTGAGCCAGACCGTGGACC